CTAAAACACGGCAATTCTACGGCAACCGGCCTACTATTTTCAATAGGGATATGGCGCACACCTCATAAAATTAATGGCGCTCGCCCTGGCCGCAGCCTCATCGCTGGTCTCTGTGCTTGCTTGTGTCCGAGCAACTCTTTTGTTCGCTCTGATCGATGACGCAGAGAGCCTCCGACCACCTGAGTCGAGGTGAGCTGCGATAACTGATGCAGCCTTCGCCACGTCAGCCAGTCTGATACTTTTATTCTGAGACTTGGGTGATGATGCAGCGGACATGAAACTTTACCGTACATGGACGCACCAGCCAGCCTGATACTTTTATTCTGAGACTTGGGTGATGATGCAGCGGACATGAAACTTTGCCGTATATGGAAGCACCAGCTAGCCAGCCGCTATCATGCTCAGATTTGTGCATCAATAGAAATTAGAGCGCATCACCATATGACGTCAATGCAACCGTAAGCTCATTAATAACAATTGTCCTCAAAACAATTGACGACATTAATAAGAGTTACAAGCCATGCGTCATCTATCATCTGAATTGGAGAATAAATTGTACGAGCTCATAGTAATATACCAAAAACATCAAATAAAACGTCCCTAATTAATACATAATAAAAGAAGACAAGCAAAATTTTTTTTGATGTCAAAAAGGAAGAAAGCCATGAAGTGACCGAAAATTCATTTGAAAAGTTACATTGTAAATGTCAGCAATCGTAGCTGATCAAATTCTGGCCTGATGGCATTTTTCGTATTGAGGGAAAAGGTTTTTTTATTCATATGAAAAATATTCTACAGCGACAATTTGAATCGGAATGAGAGCTTAAACGATAAACAGTGATTGAGGAGCGTGATTATTGATTATTGCATATGGGATTAAAACATTGAAATTATTTGTTGCTTGGCTGGGAACTATCCTGTTGTTCAATAATTAATGTATTCGATTTTCTTAACTTGTTTGCAATTCAACTCGATTTCCATGTCGCCTTTTTGCGTAGGCGTTATGTGACCTCAGCCTGGGATCTTTTGTAAATTGAATGGCAGCGGCATGGGAGCTGTACATTTTTTCAAATATTGGAGGGCAGTGACGTTGGACTGAAGTTCAACTTGAATGGTCGATCTCCTCTCCTCACCTTAATTATGGTTTCATGTATATAGACTCGGACGGTTACTTTTCTTCTCACGACAACTATTGCTACATCACTTCCATGTAATAATCCTGTAGCAAATGCATTCGAATCATATCTATATTATACTTTTGAAGCGACTCGCGAGCCTGTACGTGTACGGAATATTGACCATTTGGGTACTTCAGAAGCCAATAGTTATTAGATGTATTGTTGTACAAAAATTAACCCTGAAACCTCCAGAATCGCCGTAAGATGCGCGCATAATCAACAGAAAACAGTGACAAAAGCTTGCCCTACTTTAGGAAATCGTGCAACAGCCAATATCAAGTCTTGCTGTTACCGACAAGCATGCTTTTTTTCTTTTTATCTTTTATTTTCTGGAAGATTATTGATTATTCAGTGGAGAATAGAAAGCAATACTGTGCAAATCCTTGCACTGCTTGTAAAGTAAGTTTATTTTCACGCACGACGGCAAATGTTGCTGTACTTCATGGTAATTTGTCGGCCGGCGTGAGCGATCAATCATGTTGTGATACTCACGTCGACTTCCATCCTACTTAACCTAAATGAACTATAACGTGTTGGCAACCATCCTGGGAATTTTTTTTTCTGCCACTCGTTGAATCTCTTGGATTTTTTAATTTTTAATTCTTTTAATATATTTCGCTATCACATAGAAATAAAAATTGTTGAATTTTTTTTCTAGGGAGAACGGAATTACTACTGAGCAATTTGCATGAACAATTTTTTATGAAAAATTACACTAAATGCCGTCGCCTCTCACAAAAGAAATATACTCAATTCATCATAATCCATGAACATTATTCTGGAATTATTCTCCCGCAAGTTACAATAGCTATGGAGGTTTCATCAGGTGCCAGTAGCCTACGTATTGAACTCAGTATACGCCTCATATTAGTCTGTATGTCCATCTGATTAATCAGAATACACCTCGTATTCGTCTAGATGAACGTCATCTTCATCAGTATACACCTCATATTTCGCAGCATACAACTCTTATTCGTAAAGGTGATGATATTGGTGCCTGTAAATACCTCTATATTTGACTCCCGATTGACTTTGCATTCAGGGGCGCAACTGGCAAGGCCGCGGCAAAGCTCGTTAATTTTCGCTTGCGTGAGGATGGCGACGGCCAGTAATCTTGTAGCCTCCAGACAGAAATGCGCCGCCCGACGTCATTCGTTCAAGTCGTACGCAGAAATTGCCACCTCGCATTACGGTAGACGAAGGCTATATCTCAAGCAAGTAAGAACATTGAAATTTTGCCAGGCTGGGAAATATTGTTGAAGTATCTCACCAAATGCAGTTTTAAGAAGTAAGACATTTGGAGCAAATTCTCAAATTTGTCTCCTCTGTAACTATGCATGTTCTTTCTATGAAGATTCCGGTTTTGACCTTAACAGAGAAGCTGTGCAATAATTAATTAATAGTTAATTTTAAATGAGTAATCATAGAAAAATAACGCGCGCTGGTCGAACGACTTTGACTGGTCAATGATCCATTATTTTATTCGAAGCAAAGTGATTAGGCATTTTGTTCGCAATATGAATTGCAGGACATTTACAAAATGACTTGGCCTGACACGAAATTTTTTATTTAATAATAATAATCTTCCTCGATGTTATTAGGATATGTTATCGTTTATGTAATCATTTCTGTCTCGAAGCCCATCTGGTTTATTCGGACACGAAAGAGTTCCACAAATGCAAGCCTATTTAAAAAGAATAAGCTAATCAGCAGGGAAATATTCTGATCAAACAGGAGCTAAGTGTGGCTATAAATATACATGAAAGTTATAAACAATCTAATGTACAGGAAGCAATATACTACACAGAAGGAAAATTATTACTGAGAAGCTATCTTACCAAATGAAAATCTGTACTGAGTAGTGCAGCACGAAAAATATATTATTAGTTTCTATCCAAATGCCAGAATCAAATCTTGAATTTAACCTCTAAATGTAAATAGAATCTAATACAAAAAAATAGCAGCTTGCAAATCACCATATCGCAGTTGTCCCATTCGTTGCCCTTGCCGCTTGTACATTATTTCCGTAAGTCTCAGGCACGCTGCATCGCTGCCACCCGCACCCATCATTTCCATCGGTTGTCAGCCATGCCGCTTCGCTACCACGGCGCCCCTATCATTTCTCTTGATCTCCTGTCGCACTGCATCTCCTTCTGTGCGTGCCTTTCATTCCTTTTGGTCTCAAGTTGCGCCGCATCGCTACCACCGCGTGATCATCATTTCTCTTGGTCGCCAGTCGCGCCGCATCGCTACCACCGCGCGACCATCATTTCTCTTGGTCGCCAGTCGCGCCGCATCGCTACCACCGCGTGATCATCATTTCTCTTGGTCGCCAGTCGCGCCGCATCGCTACCACCGCGTGATCATCATTTCTCTTGGTCGCCAGTCGTGCCGCATCGCTACCACCGCGCGACCATCATTTCTCTTGGTCGCCAGTCGCGCCGCATCGCTACCACCGCGCGCCTATCATTTCTCTCGCTCTACGACCTCCCCGATTCGGTGATGCGACGCCGCGCAGGTGACCGCAGGGAGCCGTTAGCTTTCTATCGACGCCTCGCTCGACACATTTGTCGCCGCAGCCGAAAAATGGCTGTTGAGGCTTCATGGACTGGATGCTACGCAGCACCAGAATTGCTAGGGCAGATTCATGGAAGCCTCTCGCAATTTTTTCCATATAATTAAGTGTGATCAAGATTCTTACATTGAATTTAGTAGACGAAATAGGTTACCTCAGTCCAATAACGACAAGCTAATGAAATAAAATAGGCATATTTATTCCTCATTTAGGTTCATAGCTTAGATACTGTAATTGTACATTGAGAAATTCGAAATGACATTTCGAAAGATTATACTAAATAAAGGGAGTAAATTAAAAAAGGTTAATAGTTGTTCGCAAACCAATATTAAAAAATATGGGGCTGGCAGAAATGCCCCATTTCAACTTTAGTACTGCATTCAACGACTCTTTGTCTAAATTTACTTCAGAAATTTAGTCACAAATCCCCAAAACGTCTTCCTTCTTACTGAGAAACTACCAACAACTATAGGTAATAAATTCTGAGCCATAGAAATTACGTAGATTGAACAGACAGCGATAATGGCGCTATGCAGGCAGAGCTTGATAAACGCCTCACGCCACGACTGGCCGATCCTTCATAACGTAAGTCGTAAACTGACCATTGAATTTCATTGGTATCAGTAATACCGCTGTAACTGGATGGCTTGGCAAGATGAAAGTCGAGACCGGGAAAGCTTGTCTCAATGTTCCAATTGTATTTTACCTTGTAGCTGAACAGGACTAAGTTGGCGAATGATTTGGGGTTCATTAGGCTTCGAGAAAAACTTCCATCAATAAGCCAATATCGGTCCTTATTACAACTCAGCAGCAGCAGCAGCAGCAGCATGCGACGAAAGTACATCAGAATAACGGCATAAGAATGAGTACATAAGAAAAACGTCTCTTTTTATCTGAATCTGAGGTCAAACGATCACTACTAAACTTCTTTTTGTGTCCGGGATTCTGAAAGAGCAGGCACACAATATCAAACTAAGCATGCAGGTGTGGTATATTTAGTTTTAGGATAGATTACCTATATCTTCAATCCTCCTATATTTCTTTCATAGAACGGGGTTTAAATCGTCAAAACGTGCGCTATCATTCAGGATAACATTAATGAATTGTTCTTGATCAAGTCTTCTGAAGACCCAGAAACAATTACATCAATTATACTTTCTTACAAATTTACCTCACTTCAAGGGTGGCTGCAAAACTCTGCCCACTGCAACTGGATAACTATCAAGGACGATGCAACAAAGTCTCACCTTAGCAATTATTGCCACTGCGTCCGCGGTGCCAAGCGGCAAGCAGGCGCCCGAGTTTCTTCTTCTCAAATGTGCTGAGGTGCGAGGGAATTTCGTGACAAGGGACCGTCTTCAAATGGTCACGAATTTTACGGCTTGTAATTATGTTGAGGTCTCGTTTTCTGGTCTAAAAACGGCAACAATAATATCACTGTAATAGTTCGGTGAAGCTCATGGGAAATTATTTATAGTTTCCTCTATGTAAACCAGCAAATTTGAGGAATTTAAGTTTATTCAGACACGACAAATTCCCACAAATTTAAAGGCTACGGCCTGAGGTTACACCAGCTTTTATGCAGACGAGCACTGAAAAATAAACCAATGACCAGTTAAATTAACTTCTGTTAAAACTTATTTCTGTTGATAAAAGTTCAGGCGCTTCGTGCGCTCGTAATATCGAATCCAGTGGCAAAGCAAAAAGTCACTACCGCTGGGTGTGTGCATGTCATTATATGCCTCATGGATTGTGAATTAAAAAAAATGCAATACATAAGTCAAAATCAAGCGAATAAAAGGTTAACTCAGGCGGAATTTCTTGTTGGCAAGGGAATAATTATGCACCTCGAGACAATAATAAACTATTATAAGGTTTCATTGCAGGTTCATTACTTGTGTCACTCTCACAAATTAACAACCCGATCAGTTCGAACTTTTTACATCAACAATTTCACCTTATGGACGTAAAGAAAAAATTATTATCAAATAATTCGAGAGATCAAGATTTCAACGTACATCAAGATCGTTTTCCTTCATGCGCTTTTTTTTCTCAGAATAAATTGATGGGAAGAAATAAATCAAGTCTTCAAGCATCATCCGAGGCTAAGTCATTGATGGACTCAATAATATGAGAATAAGTGCATGTAATAAAAACCATCATGAATACCACTTCAAGGTTGTGCAGCCTAGTCAATTATTATTGCTTAATGTCACAATCGGCATAAATACATAATCGAAACACGGCAAAAAATTGATTATATATCACACACGACACCATACATAATCATAGCAGTATAAATATTTATAATTACGGTGGCTATAGAGAAGCAACCTAGTTGCAGGTTGCTAGGGCAGGAGTACAACATCCGTAGACTGTCTGCACAACCGCTCGCTATCGCGGCCAAGGAGGTACTGTGACCGAGACCAATGGGAGGGTCGGAGAGAGAGAGAGAGAGTGAGGGCACGTCTGCAAAAGGAAGAATTGTGGGAGAGGGTAAGCACGTCAATAGAGGGGGAATTAGAGTGAAAGGGAGAGAACTTACAGGAAGGAGGTAAGCGTGCAAGCTAGGGTATAATTGGTCGAGATTTGGAAGACGGTCGGTAATGATGTTTTCCCACACAGTATTGCAATCCAATATAAAGTGTGCTCAACAGGAGCAAATTAGTCTTATACCAGCGGCCTTGGTTTGGACAGACGGTTTTGTAGAGGTCAGTGGACAGGTCCAATGAACTCGCTAACTAAACAGTATTCGCACATCTTCCTTCGTCAATCTATTATTTACGAATAAAATTTTCCTGAGTAGAAAAGCACATGCCAAATAGTCGTACAGTTTTGCGCTGAATATCTAGATAAAGCTATAATTGTAATTTTATGCTTTGGGAGAGGTATTTTGTTATAATGATTCGACCCTGCTTGGCAGAGCGTTTCTAATTTAATTTTTGGGAACTGTTGGGCAGTCCGCGAAAATATCACGAAAAACGTAAGACGCCGTATATGACATCACTTATAAAGTTTTCCGTTATCCAAATTTGGAATAATTTTAAGTTATTTCATAGTTATTCATCTAGAAGACAAAGGGTCCGAAGCATTCACGCAAGCCAGGAAAGCGAGTCTAAGGGAGGTGATTAGTTCTGGAGAACAGGTTTAGGAAGAAGAGGTTATAGTGAATGTGTTGGATGCGAGTGCGTCAGGAGGAGTAGCATATTCGTGAGGAATATTGTGTCCTGAAAAAAGCCTATTTTAAGAGGAGATAAAGCTTGGAAATGGAAGCTTAGAGTAAGTGGCGAGTACATCTGGAAATGGAGGCTTAATATAGATACAAAATACGTCTGGGTAAAGAAGTTTATATATTCTCAAGGAAGATTATGGCCTAAAAAATACTTTAGCATTAGAGTAAGCTTGAAAGTGATAGCAATGTATAAGTGGAAAGTATATCAGGAGTTGGAAACATCGAGTACATAGAGAGCACGTCTGGAAAGAGGGGCATGATCTAAAGTAAGAGAAGTACGTATGGAGAGTGAAACACAAGGGGCAAGGAAATTACGTATGTCAATGAAAGCATATTTTAAAGTAAGAGTACATCAGGAAGAGGAAGCATACTGTTAATGGAGGAACATGGGGCAAGGAAAACATGTTGAAGGAAGAGTTCTTTTCAAACAAAAATTCTAGTGTAAAAAGAGAGCTCGTATTGATACGGAAGCAGAGCGTAAAGGAGAGTTCGTCTGGAAAAGGATCATAGTGTAAGAGAAAGAACGCCTATGCCCAATCAGCCGCTTATACATGGCGAGGTTCAACCTGCAGACAGTAAACTCTACGGGTTTTACAACCAAAAATTAATTTACGGATGCTTCGTGGCTGTTAAAGTATGCACATAGAATTGCATCAAAAATTAGCTAGAGAGTCAATCACTTACAACTTTTCCCAGTTTTTGATTTATTGAGAAAGAAACTTGCGAAACTTTGACTGTGAACGCTGTAGAACCTGGACAGGTGAACAAATAAAATTGCTCAATATACATATAGTATGAGGGAAGCATCACTGTTACGTGTCATTGTTTTTTGTTGCATTGAGATTTAATTTCTTTTGATAGTATTTTTGAATACTATGCGTCTCTATACATAATTTAAATCACTTTTCCTGTTAAGTTTGTGTACTTACATACAGTAAAATACGATTTTTCAAGTGTACGAATATTTATTTCCCCCCACTGTACATATAGTATGAGGGAAGCATCACTGTTACGTGTTTTTTCGCTGTATACGGAGTAGATAGAAACTAAAGCGCTAAATTTTCATTAGCGTTATTTTCCATATTTAATCGCTAAACAAAGTAGGTTTTTCTATAATGCAGAACATACCGTGCACCACAAGTCATTCAGCATTAAGCACTTACTACGTTATTTTTTTCGATCATACTTTCATCCCCAAATTGCGAATGCTTTTTTATGCAATTTTTTTCCTGTGGACAGTGATATTGTCGTCAAAGTACAGTTCTGGCAATTGGACTTCAAAGGATGAAAGAAAGGATGACTTCACTGTCAGCCAGGTTCAGAATGAACAATTTTAAAATTAGCCTAAGTGAATCATTACGTAACAAATTCTGAAAAATGTGTAAAATATATGAAGCACCCAATAATAGAGCATTATAGCTAACGCTGCTAGAGGGAAGATTTGTTTTGGTTCACCTTCAACAGTACATTACTTATAAGGATGCGGGGTTTCGGAAATTTCCTGTCCCTCAAGTATATTTTATAATCGTTACACATATCAATAAATATACAGGCTGACATCAAATTACTCGGCGAACTCTCAGATAGCTTCAACATCAGGAGGAGAAAGCATGTCTTAAACTTGAATGGTACTTTTACAATAAAGTTAGCTAATTTGTAAAGAAGATATCAGAGAAAAAGTTAATTTGGTCACAAATTAATAATAATAGGAGAAATTTCATATCATTAAATCATCCTGCTATAAAATCATTTCCTTTTCAATGCAACAACAAAAGAAAGGATTTCACTCGGTATTCCTGTGGCATCCTGCTCCTCGCACGCGCTCATAGAGCAGGCAGACCCGAGCAAAAGACTGGGCAAAGATTTAGACGGTGCATGCCGGCATACAAGGGCTTAAATTGGTCGGAACGCTGTCTCGGGTGTCTTTTATGTTATCGAGAAAGGGGATAAGCTCCAGCATAGGGGATGTCGTGGCAGCGGGTGCCGCTAAGCTAACATGTAGATGACGCGTCTTCGTTGATGATCAACACAGTCGAGCGGCAAGAGGAGGGTTCTCTCCAGCGACCGTGAGAACTATTTCTATTATCGATTGAATGTTTTGAGGACGGTAGTTTCATGGTATTAATGATTAAGTGAATACCTAATGATATGGATTCTCGGATAGCTAGCTATGATGTGTGTAATTAAGCTGTTAATTTAAACAATTTGAATGAAAATCATTATCTGTAACTAGACTCGTTATCGGTGCATAATTTGAATGCACGAAAAACATTTTCACACTGAATTAATTCATACCTAGAATTAATAAGGTTTAAATCTACCGATTAACTAATTTACGAACGCAGTACACATTGGTCCCTCTTGCGACATTTTGCACCCCCAAGCAAAAGAGAGCAAAAAGACCGTAAAAAGCAAGATTGTCCCTCCAGAAGGCTACAGCGAGGACTGAATGCGGCAAACTGCTGCATGCAAAAGCCATTTGGTGGCCCCCGCTGCACCTCAGTGGAATTAGGCCTTAATGCCTTCTGCTTCGCTAGCTGCCGACCTGTGCATATCGCAGCGCTTGTAGGGATCACAATTTTGCAGGGCAAGCCATGCCATCCGATCGAGCACTGGAGATTGCTCGCATGTTTTTATAAGTCAAATTTCGTTAAGGTTGAATGAATTACTTTGGTTACCTGACTCTAAATCAACTGAATATGAAAATTTTTTACACATGACAGAACTTAAACATCCAAATCTCATAGATATTTGTCAAAGTTATTTCTAGTGTTTGTTGTGTGGGTTGTTGGTTCTTAGCACCGTATAAAACATGTATAAGGAGCTGTTGGGGAGGGGGCGTATGTACATGTATGTATCTTAGGCTAGTGGAGGCGCATATATACTGTATGTATATGGGGCTATTGGGGTGCGTATATACATGTATAAAGGGCTGTTGCAGCGCGTATACACGAGACCTATCGAGTTGGGATAATACCTGGACCTGGCATTTTTTTCAGTGCGAGAATTGTAAGGTAATGAAAGTCAGGGATGAAAGCATTTGACCAAAAATTAAAATTTGCTTTCTTAATTTCCTGTACATGGATTTAATTTAAAACACACAATAATTTTTTTCGAATTTTGAAACGAGAGTCGAATAGGAGTTTTGTGTTCTATAAAAAATGAGGGTTTGAACGGGCTTTTCCTTAATTAGCATATAATAGTATTATTACATACGGAATTCGGAATTATGGGATCGAAAAATTGCCGGGATTAGCGATCACATCGGATCACATTGCAGGGAATAGCGATCAACCGATAGCATAGTATTTATTTATTCGAATTTTAGTAGCATCAATTTTGATACAAACATCATCTTTAAT